TAAAGAGACCTGCCTGCAGCATGGTTGAAAAAAGGCTGTCCTGGTTGAAGAATTGTATTCTGAGTCATTTTTTATACTGAATTGTAACCTGTTACTTCCCAAATAAACCCCGCAATTTTGAGCGTTCTCTGTGAGTTCTGTGTGGCCACCACAATGAAATATCGAACCCAACAGAGACACAGAAAGTGCAGTGGGAAGGAAAGTTGGTGTCAGAATTGGAATAAAGGTTGGAGGGTGAAGGCATGTCTGACCTCTGACTCCTAAGAATCAGCCTTGAGCTGTTGATCTTGACCTTCCTACCAATTTGTGAAGTTAAGAGATTCTCAGATGCTGCCCCCACACCATTTTTATAAGATGTCTGCCTTGTACCTGTTCCACTATTGCACTCTGGAAACAGATAACCTGTAATCTAGATTTCACCAGTGCACAGATGAAAAGGAATTTTTCCCCAGGATGGAATATGCCTAAAGTCTCACCTATTTGATTGAGATGATCTTGAAGATTTTGGACTTAGAGTTGATTTAAGACTTTGGGGATGATATGATGGGGTGTGTTTTACAAGTAGCAAGGACCTGAATTGAGAGCCGAAAGGATGGAATGTTATAGATTGAATTGTATCTTCAGAAAAATATGCGTTATAAATTCTAGCCTCTATCTCTGTGGTTATAATCCCATCTGGGAATGGACTATCTTTGTTATATTAACAAGTAAGGATTATTGTAGGGTGCATCTTGGGTCAATCTCTTTTGATATATAAAAGAATTTAAACAAGCAAGCACAAGAGAAATGGGGTAAGACAGATGCCAAGATACATGAAGGTCTCCAAAGAACCAGAAGCAGAAGCTAAAAAGACAAAGACTTTCCTTCAGAGCCAACAGAAAAAGCCTTCCCCTGCTCTGAACTGGGCACTCCAAATTCAGACTTCCAGCCTCCTGAACTGTTAGGAAATAAATTTGTTTGTTAAAGCCATCCACTTGTGGTATTTCTGTTACAGGAGCACTAGGTAAGTTTTATACACACACACACACACACACACACAGCCACCAAGTCTGATCTGACTCATAACAACCCCTCCTTGGGTTTCTGAGGTGGTATCAGTATGGAAATAGATTGTTCAACCTTCCTTCTGAGGAGTGGCTGGTGGGTTTGAACGCCAGCCTTCTGGTTAGCAGTCTAAAATTAAGTTAATATAGGATTGTCTAAATTACCTTTGTATTACTTTGAAAATTAAAATAAATAAAAACAGTGACACAAAGTTACAAAAATTGTCCTAGTCAATCTTCGATGCTTACTAAATAGTGCTCTGCTTGCTAGTCTTTTGATTGTTCCAGTCAATCAAATATCAATGGAGGTACAGCCATAAAATCAGAAAGTGGCTGAATGGTTAAAAGTACCTTCCTCAGGAGAGAGAGAGAGGACACATAAGTTTCCATTGCCTATGACAACAGCCAGAAAAGCACCATATGGAAATTAGTGATACTAGTCTATGAGTCAGAATCTAAGATACAGACTCTGAAATTGTTATCCAGAATTCTCCACTGTATCCTGCAGCAATTTCAAAAGTAGAACAGAAGAGAGAAAAGTGAAAGTTGAGGGAAAGCTTACACTTGAGATATCAGTCTCCACTTGAAGGACAGATGAAATCTTCAATGATGAAAGGAAAATATAGGAGAGTTTGCAGGTGAAATAACCAGTGGAGAAGAGTTGGCAGAAGAAATAGCCTCTGGTTAAGGAAAGAATAATACGATGGGATGGAGATACTGGAAAAGGAAGAGGGTATCTTATTATCCATAAGGCAAAAAAAAGTCAAGGAAGAGGAGTTGTGGAAGAGCTCCAGGCAAAAGGTAGACTTCCTCAGAGACTCCTCAGGAGAGAAGTGATTGAGAGTAGACAGGGCTAAAAACAGCAGGTGTTCATAAGACCAAAGCAAAGGGGGGAGTAAAAAAAACACACACAGGACATGAAATTCATATTTTCATTTTCTTAATAACAAGGCAAACCGAGAAGCTTTCCAGTGATAGCAATAGTAATGGGGCGATAATCAAAGAGGAAAAAGGAGTCAGAAATACAACTGCTCAGAACATATTTTTACCAGAAAGGAAAATGATACAATATTGATTTATCACCAAATTTTCCTCTGTACATCAAAAGTGTCTGTACTCTAAAAGCACAGAAATGATTAAGGCATTTCTAGCCAATGGTTTAGTTATCCAGTTTTTCACCCATTGCTGTCAATTCATTTCAACTCAGAGTGACCCTACAGGACACAGCAGAACTGCCCCATAGGGTTTCCAAGGCTGTAATCTTACGGAAGCAGGTTGCCTCATCTTTCTCCTGTGGAACAGCTGGTGGGTTTGGACCACCTAGTTTTGATTAGCAGCCAAGTGCTTAACCACTACTCCATCCAGTTTTTCAGGGAAGATAGTATTACATTTCCTAATACAACAAAGTTTTCTGAAGAAAAGGCAAAAGGTTTTTATCCCCCTAAGAAATGGCAATGATTTCAAGAGATCATTAATAATGATTAAGTCAAAAATATACTGTTGTTGGTGTTATTTGCCATCGAGTAGGCCCCGACTCATAGCGACCCCTCCTTGGGTTTCCGAGGCAGTATCACTACAGAAGTAGGAATGCCCAACTTTCCTTCTGAGGAGTGGCTGGTAGGTGTGAACCGCCAGCCTTCTGGTTAGCAGTCAAGTGCCTTAGGCACTATGCTACCAGAGCGCCTCAAAAATATACTACTATATTGCTCTTATACTCATTGTTCCTGAATAGGATCCTACGTGGTAAAAACTTGGTTAAGGAACTAACTCATTAAATAATTGACCAAAGGCAAACCAAACTCATTGCCATCAAGTCAAATCCGACTCACAGCAACTACTACTGGGTTTCTAAGGCTGTAAATCTTTATGGAAGTAAACTGCCCCATCTTCCTTCCACGGAGCAGCTGGTGCATTTGAACTGCTCATCTTCTGGTTAGGAGCCAAATGCCTTATCCACTATACCATCAGAGCTCCTTAAATAACTGACAGTGAAATTAAAGACAGAAATCAGGCTATGTGCCTCGCCCTATTCAGAAACATTTCTAAACTGTGCACACCCCAGAAGATGAAGATTAGAAGGAGCCCAGTGGATCCTTGTCACACACACTCTCAGTCATAAGTAAACACCATTTATTCATAGAAAAACAACATAAGCCAGCAGTTCAAATATGCGAGACACATCTTAAAAACTTAATTTGAAATTATTCATTTATTTATGAAAAAGTATACATGTATTGTTTGTATTTTAAAATGAGGATTAAAATTCAAGAGAAGTGCCATTAGCTCTAAATGATTGTAAGCATTCACCTTTAAATAGATGTCAATAATCATGCAAACTAATAACAAAAGATGGTAAACCCAATTTATTTTTTTTTGAAACCTCAGCATTAAGAATGAATCCTACCTTCTTTGAAGCCAATCATTTTTCTATTAAAAAACAATAAAATAACTTCATAAGGAGTACAGACAACTCTTTTTTCACAGTCAATGACCTCGTCTGTATATGGAATTCAAACAAAACCACAAAATCAAAACCTCATTCTTTCATTAACCCATGAACAAAGAAATTCGCTTTGGTAAGTTCTTCTGTCATGAAAAAGTATTCTGCTTTCAATGCACACCAATAGATATTTATATTAAAAATCACAATCATTTTAATTTACTCACATCCACAGAAGAAAATTCATTTTTACATTAATAACTCTTTGTAGATAAGAAAAAAATTTGATTTACAGTTTATATTCTAATCCCAATCTGGTTTTGTCTTCAGATTTTGAGAACCAATATTGCAAAGGAGTATTTTGCCAACTCTGCATCACAAAAGTATCACCCAAGTGAATTACAGGCACTTAACATTACAATATATAGCCATAACAAACTGCAGCTGGTCACAGTATCCAGCACTCCCCCAAAAGTGGGAGAAATAGCATTCCCAACCTCCTCATATATTAATAACATTTCTAAAGTCTCAAATACACTGTTTACTTTCTTGTGCCTCAAGAGTATTAGCCAAGATAAACCTAAACCCACTTTCTGCTTTAAAATATCTGCATAAATCCTGAAATTGTTCATGTTTGTACAGTCATAGCAAGCATTTCTTTAAAGAGACTGACAGTTATAGTCTGTGTACCAAACTATTTACCTGAGGAAACTTAAGATTTTCAACTCAGCTATTACATTAAAAATTATAAGCTTTCCTCTCAACTATGAAAAAAAAGAATACCTCCATAATTTCAAAGTTCTAACATAAACTTGTTGTATTTTAACACCACGTAAAACATGTCCTCCTTTGAAGGCTAGGTCAAGTAAACTTCTCATTCTATTAAAAAATATATATTTATTTATTTATTTAAATACTATGTTACAATACAACATGTTTGCCATCAGGCATGTTCAGATATTCCACAGGAATGTTAAATGGAACATCCACTTAAACGAAACTGCACAGAAGGGCAAACTGAGTAATTCAAGGAAAATTTCTTTTACATGAGGGGAATGCACAGTGTAACTGGAGGTCGTTTGTTTATTTTGTTTTTAAGCAAAAAAAAAAAAAAAAAAAAAGGAAGAAGAATACCTTTTCTTTAAAACTACTTTTACCTAAGGTAGGCAATTTGCACCACCTGCTGATAAGAGTCATATTGTTAAAGAGCCACACATTACTAGTTTACCTGATATACAGGATCCCACTGTCAAGGACAATAAGTACATGTAGAAACTTTAACAGGAGAGAGAGAGACAGGAAAGAGAGTGAAAGACAGAGACAAAGAAAGACAGAGAAATAACTCCTGGGTGGTGCTCTTAAATTAATTACAAGTTATTCTTGTGTGGAAAAAATAATTACGTCTTATAGATCGAACATCAATCACAGTAAGTATTTTTGAACAAACAAAAACAGATATAATAGAAAAGAGGCACTTCCAGTATTTTACATACAGTTTGAATTCTGTAGTGGGCAAGTTAATGTTTTCCAAACAAAATTAAGTGTATCAAGTTACTAAAATTTATCCATACTTTACAGCATTCTTTAATTAATCTGTAAACAAAAAAGGAGAGTAAATATTTAGAAGTAAACAAAGATCAATATTTAAAAGTTCAGGAGAAGTAAAAATAAAATCTCAAAACATTACCCATCCAATGTGTACACTAGAGGATATTCCTCCCTACACAATAGATGAATATACATTTTTAAATATTGACATTTTATACTCAAATATAACCTTTGTTTTTCCAATATTTGTTTACTTATTTTTCACTTAATAAGGAAAAATTTTAATTTGCTAAATTAAACAACATGTAACATAACCTTTGGAAGACTCTTTTTACCACCTGGATAGCAACTTTTTGACAACAGAAGAGAATTGCGTAACTGCTACATTCTTGTGTTTCATAGACTGTTCACACACATTGCATGCAAGAAAAAGGCATGTAAATTCTAAAACAAAGAACTACAACTAAGAATGGAATGAAAATAGTTTTGTGGCAAATGCAAATCATTACTATTATCTTACAGGAAAACATCAAAAATTCACATCTCCAGTTTCAGCAAAATAGATTATAAGAAATGGAAATATCTATAATAAGGCAATCAAATGTACAACCCGTGTATATATTCACTAAGGAATCACAGTATGCTTGGGAATTTCAAAATTCAACATATGAAACTGAAAACTTAAATGTGAAATATAGGCACAAAGTAGATTCTCTACTCTTTAATGTGAGAAACAGACTAAAGAACTTAATGATATACTAATTTGAGGAGAAAAAAAAAACCATGATACAGCAAACACTAAGAATCTTAATAAAATGAAGTACAAAGGTGCAATATTAGGCAAATTTTGGTTTGAAAACATATGGAAATAGTGGAGTTTTTCTTTTATATAGTATTTCCTTTTACACTATTCTAATTCTTCCCAGTTATCAGTAAGATTACCTTTGCTTTGTCGTCTAATACTGACCAACTTTCCAGCTGACTTTATGCTCCATCTGGAGCTATTTCCTGAGCTGGCCAGGGTAGTATACTTAGTAGAACCTTTAGTATCATCTTCCCAGCCTGGCCAAGACAAATGGTCGCTCATGGTGTCACCTGAATCAGCAGCTACATCTTCAAGAGCAATTTTTGGTGGCTCCCAACCTTCAATCTCATCTGGTTTTTTAGACTGTGTATTCTGTTTTAAAACCAAGCTGTCCCAAAATCCAGGCTTCTTCTCTGTCCTCACCTCTTCCTTTAATCGTAAATTAGTTCTGTAAGAGATGAACGTATTTGGTGTTAGTGATCCAATGATTCAAGAGCCTCAAGTTGTGTCACTTTTACAAATTTAAAGTTCTTTTTAGAGAAGATTTAATTGTTCAAAAAGTTAATACAAATCTATATGTAGAACTTAAAATACTAAAATAAGGAAAAATTAGAGTCAAAACTTATTATTAAAAGTGGTAAGTGCTGTATTTTAGGCAGAATACCATTTCTCAATATGTAAGCAAAGAACTAGTTCTCTGACAAAACAGAGACATATAATTACATAAAAGCAATTTTCTCAAAGCATTATGAAAGGTTTAAGGAAACTACATATATGACAATTGAGAGTATAGATTAAAAATAAGGGGATGAGGGAATTATTCCATTTATCAATACAGATTTTCAATAGAGTTACTCTATGGCAAGCTAATCTCCTGCATTTAATAGGTAATTTGTTCAACAAAAATTAAAATTCAGTACCATCTCTACTATTAAAAGGAAATGAAGGTGTACTTCTAAAGAAGAAAGATCATGGTGAACAACAACAAAAATGACTGTACAGAAATGTCATTAGTGGATCCCAATTCTGACTGTACATGAAAATCACCTGGGAAAAAACCTTCAGGAAACGGGTTATTGGGCCTGGGGATTCAGGATAGTAGTTTGGGTCCCTCAATGTCAACTGGCATAATATAGTCCACAAAGAAAATTATCTACATCTTACTTTGCTGAGTAGCAACTGGGGTCTTTAAAAGCTTGTGAGCAGCTATCTAAGGTAAAACTACTGGTCTCTCCTTGTCCAGAGCAAAGAGAAGTGAAGAAATTCAAAGATGCATGGAAACAATTAGTCCAAAGGACTAATGAACCATGCAAACCTCAGCCTTCATGGTTCTAAGACCAGAACTAGATAGTGCCTGGCTACCACCACCAACCACTCTGAAAGGGGTCACATTAGAAGGTCCTGGATAGAGTGGGAGAAAAACGTGTATCAAAACTGGAAATCACAAAAAAGACCAGCCTTATTCGTCTGAAAGAGAATGCTGGGACCCTTAAGACTATGGTCCTTAGTCACCCTTCAACCCTGGAACTAAACTCACTCCTGTGGCTCAGTCTGCAACCAAACAATAGGCAGGTCTATAAGCTGAACAGTAATACCAGAGAGGTATGCACTCATTGGAACAATCAACCACTGGAGATCAAAAAGGCTGCATTTGTCCAAGGGCAAAGTTCATAAGGCAGGATAGGATAGGAAAGGAGGAGGAATGGAAACAGGAAACACAGAGAGGAAGTGAGATGAGTGATGTTACATTGTGGGGACTACAATCCATGCCATGAAAAAAATGTGAATGAATTGAATGGAAAACTGATTTGCTCTATAAATCTTCATCCAAATCAAAATTCAAAGTTAAACAAAATAACAATGTCATACCTCACCCCTAAATATTCTAGTTTAATTGGTCTGAGGTGGGGCCAGTACACAGGTATTTTTCAAAAGCCCCCCAGAAGATTCTAACATGTAGCCAGACTTGAGAAGCACTGATCTTCCTGACAGCAGAAAGAACTGATTTACAAAGTCCTCTGAAGACAAAGAACCAAGGGTTAAGTCAGAGGCATTTAGCCAGAGCAAAGTAAGGACCATACATCTGCCTGGTAATTACAGGGAAGTGCAACCAAAGTATTTACTGTCCTCAAACAAAAGCATATTTTTCACTTTTAGGCTCCCCAAGATTCACCTTCTAATTAAACAGTTCTTCATACCACTGGGTAACAATGCAATTAGTATTAGCATTACATAGTCACTGACTTTCATTTTCAACTTCCAATATTCTAGTCAAAGTTTCAAACTATTTATAATAAAGTAGCCATATGCCTGGTTACATATATTTGATTTTTACAGTTTACCAATCTTTTGTATTTTTAACTACAGAAGTGAAGACTAACTGATTTACTCAGTAACCCAAAAGCAGCTTTAAGTTAAAGTTTATTTATATTGTTGAAACAATCATTTTCCACCTTTCTGAGTGATTTTACATCTATCATGAAATGATTATTTTCTTTAAACATTTACAACTTACCCTTTAGACTTGGGAGATTTACATCTTTCAAGTAGATGCTGTTCATCATCCTTATTAAACAGAGAAGTCACTTCCTTCCAACCTCGAAAACTTGCTCCTTGAACCTAACAAAATGTTAAGAAAAATATCCTGAAATCTTATGTAGTGAATAGGTAACAATTTTGTGTTCCAATAATTATGAAACTAAAATTTAGAAAAGAAACTGGCAAAGATTTCCTCTTACCTTGTTATATCTGCACACATTTAAAATTTTCCCATTACCTACTAATGATCTCAGATGTTACAGTATAACAGTATTAATAACATTAGTAATGTCAAAAAAAAAAATCTACATTTAGCAGTAGACCAATCAATAAACACATTTTATTTAAAACAGGTTGTGCCATCATAAAAACTAGTTAACAATGGATATAGAACAAGAGATATGGAGATGAATTTTCCCTGACTAAAGTGTTGAGCTTTAAGGATAAAACGTGGGGTAGGGGGTGGGGGGACTCAACCACATAAACAAGAGTATGTATCAGGTCAGCATCAAACGTTCAACATTCAATTCTAGAACAGATTTAGCATGACCCAAAACTATTTTACCCATCCAAGTATAAATAAAGATACTAGGCAGACTTTTAATTATATGACAAAAAAATTCACAGGCTCTTCTGGTTCGGGGGGAGGATTCACAGACTCTTTGGTGGGGATCACTTGATGAAATAAAGCAAATCCAAGAATCAATCAAAAAATATACATATATAGATATAGGAATGATTAAAAACTAGCCATGAGTATTAAATCTATTCATAAATAGAATATTAAAAACCAGATGTATGCTTTATTGCTACATAGTTCAATTAACAACAAAAATACATTTGTTGTTGTTGTTATTTGCCGTCGAGTTGGCCCCGACTCACAGTGACCCCTCCTTGGGTTTCCGAGGCAGTATCACTACAGAAGTAGGACTGCCCAACCTTCCTTCCAAGGAGTGGCTGGTGGGTTTGAACCGCCAGCCGTCTGGTTAGCAGGCAAGTGTCTTAGCCACTATGCTACCAGAGCTCCCAAAAATACATTTACAATTTTTTTTTTAAAAGATACCTAAATTACCTTCAAGCCATACTAAATCACTGCCTAAAAATCCCACCTAAAGTGCCATCTGACTGGGGGAATAACTGCTTTATGATTCACAATTTGTGAGGATTGTGCAGGAAGGACCAAGCAGTGTTTTTCATTCACAGGGTTGCTTTGAGTCCCAGACAACTCAATGGCACCTAACAATAATAACAACAGTCACAACTTGTAAAGCTGAATATTAACTTGGAGAAAACTGTTAGGATACATTTTTTCTTTTGGGGGGGGGGGGCTAATAGTGACTGAAGTTGTTTCTGTACATAAAGTATCTAATTTAGCAATCACATTTCAGCCGTATCTTTACCAACCAGCCTTCTCTACCTCTCACAGTCTTAATAAGAATCAATTTCCCATAACCTCCCCTTTGAGCCTGCTTTGTCATCTGCTGCTTCCCACATTAATGAGTTAATTAAAACACTGACAGATATACACTGCTTTTTTTTAACCTTTAGAGAATTGTTTTAATTTTTTTAAATTGTGATTTAAGTGAAAATTTACAAAGCAAATTCATTTTCTATGCAACAGTTCATACACATTGTTTCATGACACTGACTGCAATCCCCACAATGCAAGAGATCTCCTCCCACTTCTTCCCTGTGGTTACCTTTGCCCTATGTCCTTTCATATGCATTCCTGCCCTCTGAGCTATCTCCCTGTGCAAATACTGCCCCTTCTGATCTTTCATGATTGACTGTTCTAAGGAGTGTACCTACCTAGTGTAAATGTTCACCTTATGGACCTGTCTACTATTTGGCTGGAAGCCATGGAAGTGAGTTCAATTCTAGGCCTGAAGGTGACCAAGGCCATAGTCTCAGGGCTTTCACCTGTCTCTATCAGACCAGTAAGCCTGGTCTTCTTTATGATTTTGAGTTTGGTTCCACATTTTTCTCCCACACTATCCAGGGTTTCTTATTTTGATCCCTTTCTAAGTGACTGACAGTGGTAGCTGGGTACCATCTAGTTTTTCTGGTCGCAGGGTCATGTAGGCTGAGGTACACATGGTCCACTAGTCCCTTGAACTAACTGTTTTCATATGTCTTTGGTTTTCTTCATTCTTCTTTGCTCTGAACATGCAGAGACCAATTGTTACATCTTGTTGTTGTTACATGTCATCAAGTCTGCCCCGACTCATAGCAACCTCTCCTTGGGTTGCCAAGGCAGTATCACTACGGAAGTAGATTGCCCAACCTTCCTTCCAAGGAGTGGCTGGTGGCTTAGTAGTCAAGTGCCTAAGGCACTGCTGCTTATAAGCTTTTAAGACCCAAGTCACTACTCACCAAAGTAGGATGTAGAACAATGTTTTGGGGTAGTATGTCATGCTACATATGTGAGACTGATGTTCCCCCGTGACCATGGTCCTGAGCCTACTCATTCTCTCAGGGTATTTGGCTGTGGCTATGAAGTTATCATCATGTTGCCCATTACCTGTATTATATATATGGACATTCTTATAGCATATACAAATATGTATGTAGAAATATCTGCCAAACATGGTCATGGGTATATATTTCCTTTTGCCTAGACATGCCTGATCATTAAGACTGTATACTTACATATATACCTGTAAATTATTAGTACTGATAATGCAGTATTATGAATATAAAAATATTTATCTTTGTTGTCTGTACCTCTCGTGCACCCCTCTGTGTCTTCATTTTCCTTAGTGCTACTGTGTTGGTCATGTGCTTTTGGTACATTGCAGTTCCCTTCACCCAAATCAATACCTGTCTCTTCTTACCTATCTAGCATTTTCCCTCTCTTCCCCTCCTATTTCTAGTAACCAACAAAGAAAGTTTCCCAAATGGAAACCTTTCCTTGACTTTTTACAATAGTGGATTAGTACAATATTGCCCTTCTGTGACTGACTTATTTCACTCAGCATAATGTCCTCCAAGTTTATCCATGTTACGAGGCATTTTGCAGATTCTACTTTAGTGTTGCATAGTATTCCACTGTGAGTATACCATAATTTGGTTTTCCTATCCTCTGTTGATAGCTACTTAGGTTATTTCCATCTCTTTGCTATTGTGGATAGCGCTGCAATTAACATAGGTGTGCATATATCTATTCCTGTCCTGGCTCTCACTTCTTTAGGATATATACCTAGTAATGGGATTTACTGGATCAAATGATATTTCTGACAATTACATTTTGATACAACAAAGATGAGAGAAATGGAGGATTGAGGATAAGACTGCCAATTATCTCTTTTTTCATAGCAGGATTTCATTTACATTGTCTAAAATTAATTTTTTTAAAAAAATTATTTTCTGGCCTTTTAGTGTCTCATAACCATTTATTCGTCATCTCAGAAGCATCTTTTAAGAACTGTATCTCTTGTAATAAATAAACATTTATATGAAATATAATTATTCTGTATTTCATTGTTTTCTTCTATTAAAAAAATATTAAACAAGCATTAAATGAGGACTCATAACAAAACAAGAAACTGAATAGGTCATTAAAAAAAAAAAACAAAAAACCACTTCCAACAAAAAAAAAAGTTCCAGCCCAAATGACTTCACTGGCAAATTCTACCAAACATTCACAGAAGGACTGCAGCCAATTCTACTCAAATTATTCCGGGATATAGAAAAGGAAGAAATACTCTCAAATTCTTTTTATGAAGAAAGCATAACCCTGATACCAATGCCAGGCCAAAAAAAAAAAAAAACCCAAACCCACTAACACTGAATCAATTCTGACTCATAGTTACCCTCCTTGGGTGTCCAAGGCGGCAAATCTTTAAGGAAATAGATTGTCCAGTCTTCCTTCCACGAAGTGACTGGTGGGTTTGAACCACTAACTTTCTGATTAGTAGTCAAATGTCTTTGATGCTGTACCACCAGAGTTCCTTAATGCCAGGCAAAGGCACCACTTAAAAAGAATATTATGTAACAGTATCCCTCATTGAAAACAGACACAAAAATTCTCAACAAAATCATAGCCAACAGAATCCAACAGCATATCAAAAACATAATATATCATGACCAAGTGGGATTTATACCAGATATGCAACATTAAGTGTGGTAGTTAAGTCTGTGTGTCAACTTGGCTGGCCCTGCTTGAGTGATTGGGCAGCTGGATCTAGCATTCCCCATGATGAGACTGATAATCAACTCCATGGTGCAATCTACTGTGAGCAGCTGAGTAGCTGTTTTAGGGATGTGGTCTGCTTCCAGTATATAAGGAGAAGGCCTGGGAAATGGTCTCTAGTTGATGGCACACTTGAATCCTGCATGTAGCTGAGTCATTGTTCAGCAGCCTGCCATGCTCTGCCAATCTTAGGAATTTCAATGGACTTGAATTAATGGCCTGCTGTGTGGTTTGGTAATATCGAGACTGTGCCTTATTACTCGTCAACCTTGGGCTTATCCGCCTCAGCAGCCAGCAGCTGAGTGAAGAAAAGCCTCCAGCTTCAGTGGGCTGGGAGCAAGAGGCAGAGCTGAAGCCCAAAGTTGAAAGGCTTTCACCCAGCCCCTAGAGCCTGGTACTGTGAACTCAGACTTAAAGCCTCCAAATTTTAAGAATAAACTCCTGTTTACTACGGCCATCCCACTTGTGGTATATTCCTGTCAGAATGGCACTAGCTAACCAAAATAATAATAAATGCTAATGATAGTGTGGGGAGACTGGAACCCTTATACACTGCTTCTTGGGACTTTAAAATGGTGCAACCACTGTGGAAAATGGTGTAAAGCTTCCTCAAAAAGCTGGAAACAAGAATACCATATGATTCAGGAAACCCTTCACTACATGCATATCCTAGAAAAATAAGAGACATGACATGAACAGATATATGCAAACCCATGGTCACCGCAGCACTATTCACAACAGCAAAGATGGAAACAGCTGAAATGCCCATTAACATATGGGATGGATCAACATTTAGGAATTGCAGTGAACTGCTTGATGTGGCCCTTCTAGCCATTGTCCTCCATTCTGTGGTGTTTTGTAAATCCCATTATCCATGCCTGTTTGGGGTGGTGTGGTAGTTAAGGTCAGGTATCAACTTGGCTGGGCAGCTGGTAGTAGTCAT